AAAGGGCCAAGGGGAAGTGCAACAACAGGGGTTCTGTTGGATGGTTAGGACCTCACTGCAGAGGGAGAAAGAGCTGATCCTAGCAGGAGGCTGCCCATCCCAGAGGGGCACATGCAAAGTCCTGAGGCAGAGGTTCAGTAAGGAAGGCAGAGAAGGGAGCTGGAAGGCAGAGAAGGGAGCCGTCTGTGGCTGCAGCAGGGCGCAGGGAGGGTGCAGGGGAAGGGGCTGCAGGGGATGGAGGGCCACATGAGATGAAGCAGCAAAGGCCAGGTGTGGAAAGGACTCACTGAGCCTGAGCAGGAGTTGGTACTGTCCTCTAAAAGCAGTGGAGGACCCTTGAAGGAGTCTCACTAGGTGGTTTGATTTGGTTTACATTTTTTGAACAATTAGCATTACTGTCCTTCGGTCCCTGTGTTATTAATGTCACTAAAACAGCAAGCCACTTTTCAGATTAAAACACTGCACAGCCCCTTCTCCTTTCCCACCCCCATCCTCCCCTTAGGGTGTGCTCTTAGGGGGAGCTGATAGCCCTTTCATTCCCCAGGGGACCCGGCAGAAGGGCGCCCACAGCTGCCCCAGCCTCCTCCCTGACTCACTTCCACCCGGGGAAGCCGATCACACCCCACGGGAACCTCCTGCAATCCCCGGAGCCTTCCAACGCCTCTTGACAGGGACAAGGATGCCCACGGGGAGTGACAAGCCTGTCCCCTAGAGGGAACATCCGTGGGGACCATCCAAGCTGCCCTTGGCTTCCCTAGGAGACCTCGGAATCCCCACCCCCATCCTTCACCTGGCAGTGGTGACAGGCATCATGCCACGGGGGTCCTAGAGAACGCGTGCAAGGGGGCCTCTTGCGCCCGCCCCTCATCTGTGACTCCCAAGGCCAAGGACCACCCAGGCCCACCCACCCGCTCCCGGTCTCTGGTTTGCGCTCCAAGGTCGTGAGGCAGCGCGCGGGAAGGGCACCGGCGCCCCCTGCTGCCCACGCCCCTCCACAGCAAGGCTCCCGTCCCTGCGGGAGAACCGAACGCGCTGCGCCACTTTAAGCCAAGTGTAGTATTCTGTAACTGGGGACAGTGGTATCTTGGGTCACCTATTTTCCTGAACACCTACGCCCAAGAAACAGTTCCGAGGGGAGAGGGGGTGGTTAACTGTGCTGACTTTGTTTTTAAGATGATAAGGTTGACCGAAAGGTAAAGGGCCGGCCGCCTGACCATACCTGATCTCAGTGACTCAGAAGGTCGGGGCAGGAGGATCCCAAGTTCAAGGCCAGCCTGGGCGAATCAGCAGGAACCTCGGCAATTTAGTGAGACCCTGTCTCAAAAATAAAATAAATTTTTAAAGGACTGAGAATGTAGCCTGGTGGTAAATAACCCAAGTTCAATCCCCAGTGCCCCGGAGGAGGGTGGGGAGGACAGACTGAAGAAAAGGCAGCGGAGTCTTTAATCTGGCAGAAGCGACTATTGCTGCAACTTACTAGCTATGTGGGCGTGGCCCAGAGTTCCCCTGTGTCCTGCCTGGGTGGCCATGTCTACCTGACCAGGTCACTCAGCCAACTCAGCGGGGACTCACAGACATGGACAGCCATAGCTGTGGACATCAGAAGAGCTTTGAAGTGGGGGGGGGGTGTGAAACCGAAGACAGCAGCTAGCACCGCTCCAACTGGATCCTCTACCGTCTGGGTGGCCAGACACAGGGGTCCCGATGCAAACGTGGGCAGCTGGGAGGTTTGGCTCAGCAGTTTGGAGCCATCTTGTGGCAGGGATGCCTTTCCTTGTGCACACCAGCTACCACAGGAGCCAGCTGTCCCCTGGATGCCCAGCTGCACAGTCCTGCTCCTCCACTCTGCGGCTCCAAGAGCCCCGCACCAGGAACACAAGTCCAAATCCTGGTTTCAGAGCTCAGGCACACGTTGAAGCTGCCAGATGTGCCAGCTCCCTCTGCCTCTGCATAAGGCCACAACAGAAGGTGTCCGTCAGTTCGGGCTGCTATGACAAAATGCCAGGAATTCAGCGGCCTGTCAACAGTGGACATTATTTCTGGCAGCATGGGGGCTGGAATCTGAGATCAGAGCGTGAGCACACGTGGGTTCTGTTGTGGGCCCTTCCCGTCGCAGATGGCAGAAGACAGCTACTGACTCTGGCCTCTTCTTACCAGGGCACTAATCCTGTTCATGAAGTCCCCCACCATGGTGACCTCCTACCTCCCAGGTCCAAACAATGTCACACTGGGATTAGGAGGGGTTCGACCTACAGATCTGAGGGAGGCCCAAGCAGTAAGAGATTGATGGATAATTTGTGTGCCCCTAGTGAGAGCTATAGGGACAGGAACCCATGTCAAGTTCCCTGTGAGAATCGTCCCTGGGGAGCGAGGCAGCTGCTCTTGACAGCTAAGCACTGAGCTACTCAGGAATCTGCCCGCCTAGGGGCCCAGACGACGCTGGCTTGGACGTCCACTGTTCAGCCATGATGGGTGGACACTGGAAGTGACCTTCTCTGATGGCTCTAAGTTCATGTCCCTTACGGTGACTCTTTTTTCTTTCTTTTAAATTCTTTTTTTACAAAATGTCTCCTGCATATGAAAATGTACCAGGGAAAACCCAACGGACGCCTCCTCCGTGTGGTCTCGGTGCTTAAGGCAGAAGGCGCTTCAGACGCAGCCGAGCTCCGCCCTTGGTCTCCATCCAGCCCGCCCTACCACGCCGCTGAGCCCGGAGCCCACGCCTTCCTCACGTGTGGCTAAATTTGACTCCCTGTGGATGTCACTCCAACACCGGGGAGTGTTTGCTGTTGACCTTGATAGTTGACATTGTTTGGGGGATTGTCCACGTGGACACATGGAGTTCTGGCCTGTTTGTTTTCACTCCTGTGAAATAAATATTCCCCCTAGGAGCAGCCCCTACTCGGTTCAGACATCAGGCTGTTCCCCAGGCAGGGGCAGCGCAGCCCTGAACTGCCCACACACCTGCAGGGCCTCTGGAGCTGGCGCTGGGGAACGGGTTCCGCCTTCAGGAAAGCGCTCTCCAGCCTGCCCAGGCCGCCCACGGCTCTCCCGTCTTCTACCAGCTTTCTCTCTGGCCGTCCCTCACATTGCTCCAGATTGGTTGTAGTTGTCCCCAGAGGTACATTGTGCCGGAACCCTGGTCCCCTGTGTGCCAGTGTCAAGAGGTGGTGGAACTTCTAAGAGGTGGAGTCCAGTGGGAGCAGGGAGGTCACTGGTCATGTTGACATTTGCTGTTTGCATGGTTCCTGGGGGACCCTAAGTTAGTTCTCATGAGGGGGTTGTTATGAGAGGGAGACCCTGGCCGATCCTTCCCTTTAGCTTCCTATCTAGCCACATGATCTCACCCAAACATGTTTCTGCCATGGTACCATCTGCCACGGGGCTTTCAGCAGATCTAAAGAAAGCCTCCAAACTGTCAAAGACTAGTTTTTCAGCCTCCCAAACTGTGAACTAAACAAACCTTTTTTCTTCATAAACACTCAGATTCCAGTATTTTGTTATAGTAACAGAAAAGACTAACACATGCATCCTGCCACCTTTGCTAATCTGATGTGTAGGAAGTAGTATTAGTTCTTGTGGTCATTTGACTCCCCTTATTATAACCCCGAGATCCTAACACTTGTGTCCTGCACACACTGGCTCCTCTCCTGCACGTTGCCTTGGTGTGAAACAATCCATTTTCCCTGTTGCCTAAGCCAAAGCCAGGAAGCTCGTTGACTTGTGGGTGAAGCTGATGACTCAGGCCTCACCCCTCTGTCGGCTTAGACTGAGAGGCTCCAGGTTAAGGTCCACCCTCAGAAGCTCAGAGCCCAAGCAGGCTATGCAGACTTGCCAAGCTCCGACAGGGCCGTGCGACCAGCCTGACACCGCCACAGCCCGATTCAGTTGTTCCCGGCACCTTTCCCTTCGTCACCTTGGCAAAGCCCCAAACCAGAGGCTGAGGCCCCAGGGTGCTTACAGCCCCGAGAGCATTCATGCCAGCAGAGACAGAGACCAGAGTTCTCCTGCAGCCCCCAAGTCAGGGTCAATCCCGGCGTTTTGTCCCTGTGGGCAAAGACTGCTAAGAGCTCACCATGGGGCCACTCGTAATAGCAACCCAACGAAAGAGGGCAGCCACCTGAGTGTCCCCCGCACAATCGGCTGAATGAAGAAACGTCCGCTCCTCCACCTGAGAGTGGGGCAGAGAGCACCCAGGTCAAGGGAGCCTCTCAGGAGCCTTCCTGTGGGTCCTCAGACCCCCCTGCAGCCCACGGGCCACTGCCGACCGCCGCCTCTGAATGTCAGCTGGCGGACAAGGGTCCCGGGGGCTCCCAGAGGTTCCTGTGCACACTAACAGGGCGAGCTCAGCACCGCGGGGCCCAGGAAACACTCAACAAGCTCACTGTGAGTTAAGAGGGAGAAAGCAGGTTACATGGCATTCGGTGCATGAAAAAGTGATCCCGTGTGTGAGTGTGTGAGTGTGTGTGTGTGTGTGTGTGTGTGTGTGTGTGTGTGTGTGTCCTGACAGGTGCCTAGGAACCCCGCTGACAGCAGTTACCTATGCCGTTACTATGCAGTTACATAGGCAGTTACCTATGGTTACCTATGCTCCACCCCATCTAGGGCCTGGTGATTCTGGGGGAGGGGCTGTCCTGGTCACCGCGGGATGCTCAGTGAGTCCCTGGTCTCCTCCACTAGAGGCCAGTAGCACCTCACAGTGATGCCAATCGACCTCTGAGGGCCCCCCCCACCCCACCCCAGGTGGGAACCAGCGCTCCAGATGGAAAGCATCACAGGGGCCCTTTCCCTGCTTTTAGGATGTGGGCCTGTATTTTATATCGTTTGTTGTTGTTTTCACTAAAATGAATATAAAGTATTTACTCACATTAAAAATTAAAAAAAAAACAAAACTTGGTGCTTCTTAATGGTCCATGGCCTGTGCTGTCAAAAAATAAAAACAGATAAGACATTCGTGTTGGTATGTACAGTAAGTAAGCCAATTTTATTAGCATTTTAAAATAGTTACAGAAAAACATAAAAGTCCTACCCGAATGTCAATGTCCCTTAGGAGACGTTAAAATATTTCTAACCTTTGGACGAGGCCTCTGGATTTGAGGCGTCGAGTTGTCCTTTGGTATCCTCAGGGCTTGGTTCCAGGGCCCGTGTGGGTACCAAAGCCTGAGGATGCTCAGGCTCCAGTCCTGTGTACATCCTCCATACACTTTACTGTCTCTGGATTACTTACAATGCCTGATAAGGTGTGCGTGCTGGGTAAACAGTGGTAACACCGTGGTGTGCAGGCTAAGCACAGAGACACCTTTCCCTCAAATGTGGGTTACAAAATTAAAAATGTTGGATCATCACTGAGCCGTATAACAATCAAAGGAATCCCCGCATCCTCCTGATGAGAAGAAATACATCCAGAGGTTAAAACAGAACTGTTTAATTGAACTAAAGCATCACAGGTGATGTTTTTCCCTAATATTCTGAAGTGTCCAACTTTGCTATAATAAACATGTACAATTTATAGTGAAATAAAGAAGAGTCAATTTTATTTTTAAAAATACGTCAAAATGATCACAAAATTTCAGGTAAGGAATGTGTCTTCACGTTAACCTATACACAAATTTCCATCCGGGTGATCAAAGTAATTTTGTTCAAAAATTAGACCTACTCAGAAACTAAAATATTAACCAAACGTGTCTGTAGCTACATTCAATCAGCTCTGAGGACAAAATTGAAGGGGTTGCTCTGCAGATGGATGGTCAGTAATAAGGCTGTAAGTGGTCACTGATAAATTTCAACAGGAAGTGCTTTTTATGAAAAACAAACTGTGCATTTTGTTTTGACATTTTTTTCCCAACCTAAGATCATATTTTCCTAAAATAGAGGGTTTCGCTCAGAAGGAAATAAAATGATTTGGGTTTGATTAGAATCAACTCACGAGGACGGATCTGGGGCTCCTCGCAGGCTTTGATCTAATTGTTTGCCCACAGGACACCTAATCACGCAGACAAAGGCGCCTCCTCGGGTGAGTCAGGCGATGTTTGCCCAGCCCGGCCATTCCCAGGTGGCCCGGGCACTGCCCGGCCAGCTGACCCCAATCCTGTGTGGACCAGACTAGATCTTACAATAGACTTCAAAGAGAGAGGCAGCCGCGTGCATTCGATAGAAAATAGAAAACGGCATGGCCAGGTTGACCACAATTATCCAGGGTTCGAAGCCGAAGACGACTTCCTCCAGTCCGTTGTCGTACTCAGGGCGACAGCCAAAGGCGGGAGGTACCCAAAGCTGCAAAAGAAGAGGGAGTCTGTCAAGGTGAGCGGCTTCCCATCCTGGAGGAGGCCGCACTACCGCCAGGCACCACAGGGGGGCGCTGCCCAGATCCAGGAGCCTGAGTCACTCCCAGCAGGATGCTGAGCCCCCCAGGCTCCTGTCTCCATGGAAACGTCCCACCCACCAGCCTCCCGAGAGCCTGCTCCATCCTCACCCACAGGTCCTGGTAGTCTACCGTGGGCACCTGTCCGAGCCTCTCCTTCCCCACCAGCCCACCCAGCCTCAGTTTCCTCATCTGTAACACAGGAAGACCAGCACCTCTGAGAGGCCCTAGGTGAGAATTCAGTTGGTAAAATGTACAGAAATGACCCGCACGCTGGCCCCACCCCCCTCAATCTGGCCAGGCCCCTTCCCCTCAGCCACTGTCAGTGCACCCTGCACGGTCCGGGACTCTTGCTCCTACTGTCTGCTTCTGGAGCGCCCTTCACTCCCACTCCCGGCAGCAGCCCCTAGCATGACCCCAGGGTCCCCAGCTCCTGGAGTCGTGGCCTGTGCAGTTCCATCCCCTGGAGTGCAGGAGAGCCCACTGAGCACTCCTAACACAACAGGCAAAAGTCACCTCCAAAGTCAGATCTGCCATCTGCAAGAGAGCAGGCTGAGCCGCCCTCTGGAGAGGCCTGGGGTTGGGTACAGAGAAGGTCTCAGGCCAGTAGCCAGCAAGGAACACACGGGCCCTCAAACACCCCCGAAGGAGCAGAATCCTGCCAGTAGCCATGGGATGGGGTCTGGAATGAGATCCCCAAATGAGGCCTTAGAGGGACGCGGCCTGCCCACAGCCTGCAGCCTGGAAGGGCCCTGAGCAGACCCAGCTGAGCTGCGCTTGGACTTGCAGACCGAGACGCCATGACGTGGTTAATGTTTGTGGTGCTGAGCTGCCAAGCTTGGGGTGGCTTCTTACCCAGCAGAGGTCACTGACACGTGTGGCCTCATAACATCCCCGACGACACCCCCAGCCTGATCCCGAGCCTCTGGGGGCCCTCCTGACACTTCCGCTGGTCCTCTCCAGTCCCCTCTGCCGGCTTCTCTTTTGCTGGGCCTCTTATGGCCGTCAGGTCCCAGGCTCTTCTGGGCCCCTCCCTTCTCTGCGCACGTGAGCCCCAGAGCTTTCCCCTTCCCTGGTTGTGACTGCCACTGGCCTCCAGGAAACTCTGGCTCTAGAGAAACCCCAGGAGCAGGCCGGCTTTTGTCCCTTCCTCTCCTCTGCATGCCACCACTTCCGCCCTGGCTCATGCCCGTCCTGTCCTGCCTGGGCTGCTGCGGGCCTCCCTCCCAGGCTGCAGCCCTCTGGTCTCCCAGCCGCGGGCCTGACCTCTGCCCCCTTCCTGCACATGGCTGCCTGGGCATCGTTCCAAGACGATGCCAGAGCACCCCGACCTGCCCTCAGCACCAAGGCTGAACCCCATCCCAAGCAAGGAGGCCACTCACGCCAGAGCCCACCCAAGGGGACCCTCCCTCCTGTGTCCCACTCTGCCTCTCTGCTAGACATGGATGTGCTCCGTGCTCCCAAAATATGCCACAGTCTCCACTGCCTCTGAGTCTCTGCACATTATATGCCTCTGCCCAAAATGCTTTTCCCTGTCATGACCACTTGGTCCCAACCAGTCCCTGAGGCTGAGTCAAGCAATTTTATGTGAGTGACCACAGCTTCTTCATGATTGGCTTCAGTCACAGGGCTGGAAAGCAAACCCTCCATGCTTCCAGCATCTGTTGCAGCAAGGAGTGGCCATGGGAGAGACACTGCATAGCATCAACCTGTTCCTTCTGTTTCCCATCTTGAGCCCAAACCTGATGCCTGGTACTGCTGCAGCCATCTTAACACCATGTGGCAGCAAGCACCATGCAGAGGAAAGATGGAGTTCCATGGCATGATTCAGCTGCAGACCCAACCCAAGCAGAAGATCCTCAGCGTCCTGTGAGATCAGTAAATGTCACTGAGATGCAAGCCCATCATCTGCAACCAAAGTAATGCTGACTGATACTGGCAGGGAAGTGCCCCCTGGATCCTCACTCTTATTGCACATGGCAACCGAGCTCCACCTTGCCAAGGGAAGAGCTGGCGTCCTCTCACCTGCCCTCTGCGTGCCCTGCGCTCCACCAGGATTCCCCTTTTAACCTTACATTCACTCTTGGTACCACCCACCCCCACCCCTGATTTGGAAAAGGTGAGGAAAACAGATTAGCTGATTGGCAGATCACCCCAGGAGTTGGGGGAGGATTACCGAGATGTTGCAGAGGAACAGGAAGACGGCCACATTCCTCAGGACGCTCCTCCTGGTGCTGCCCTGCAGGACACGAGGCTCGCGAGGCGGGCGGCCCGGCTCCTCTTCCTCTTTGCCACAACCGGGCTGCAGACTCCCGTTGACCGCCCCGAAAGAGGCCAGGGAGGAGGTGCCGCCGCTGCAGACGGCTACCACGCGGAGCGTGCGGATGTCCTCGCGGAGCGGCTGGGGCTCGCGGTGGACCGACTCGATGATGAAGAGGTTCTGGATGTACTTCTCGGCGATCACCAGGGCCGAGTAGGGCAGGTTGAACCAGGTGTAGCGCGGGCGGGTGGTGGCGCAGAGCATGGCCAGGATGGAGCCCCAGGAGATGAGCCAGGAGCCCGAGGCCGTGCCCACCAGGAGGTCCGCGTCCAGCTTGCGGGCCGGGTTTTTGGACTCATCCAGCGACTGCTTGTCCATCCTGCAGACCCAGATTCCCAGCAGCCCCGCGGCGCCCATGAGGGTCAGCAGGCTGGTGGCCGACAGGTAGAAGAGCACCAGCGCCCACTCGCTCTGGGTCCTGGAGCGCCCGATGTGGACTAGGTACACGGCCACCACCCCGATGGTGGCCGCCAGCACGCCCAGGCCCAGCGCCGCGCCCGCCATCCCCCGGCTGAACTGGAACCGCATCTCGGGGCGCGCGGGGCTGTCCACCCTGCGGCCCACGTTCTTCCACAGGACGTAGAGCATGGTGGAGGCCAGGATCTGGTACTCGATGTTGAAGGGGTACAGGTAGTAGATGACGCGCGACACGGCCGGGCACAGCGCCGGCGGCGTGCAGTTGCACTGCGGCGTGTGGTCATCCAGGACTGGGGGGACAGGAGGGCCGGCCGTCAGCACAGAGCTGCCACCCTGGACGCCAGGCGGCCTCCCGCCCAGCAAGCCACGCAGGGAGTGCGCTGGTCCGTCCCTCCGCGCTGAGAGCACGGGCAGCTGTAGGACCGGTCACCCCCAGTGCGTTCACCGGCTGCTCTGAACTGAAACAGGGGCCCAAGAGCAGACCCTGCCTCCACCTTCGTGAGATAGAGACTGATACCTCCGCAGGCTGGTGGCCGACAGGTAGAAGAGCTCCAGCGCCCACCCGCTCTGGGTCCTGGAGCGCCCGATGTGGACCCGAGCCAGAGGTGAGCCGTGGGCACAAAAATCCGCAAAAGGGAAGGGATTTCTGTTTTCTTCTGCATTGGCTTTTCTGTATTACTCAATTTTCTCATGAATATGATCTCTGTGTGTGGTTTTAAAAATTATTTTTTAAGTGCTCTGTAGGGAAGATGCCCCTCCAGTTAGCAAAGACTTTCCCTGAAGACACAGCCCTGGCCAGAGTGGCATGGGATGGGCACACGCAGACACCGGTGCCAGTGGCAGAAATCGTTGCCACGGCTGGAAGACAAGGGAGCCACAGAACAGAGGACCATTTGACCCAGCTATCCCACTCCTCAGCATGTACCCCAAGGACTTCAAATCAGCATGCTATAGTGACCTGGCCACATCAATGTTTATAGCAGCTCAATTCACAATAGCAAAACTAGGGAACCAACTGAGGTGCCCTTCCACAGATGAATGGAAAGAGAAAAATGGAGCATATATACATAATGGAATATTACCCAGCCTTAAAGTAGAATGAAATCATGACTTTTGCCAGTAAATGGATGGATCTGGAGACTACCATGCTAAGTGAAATAAGCCAGCCCCAAATAAAACAAAGGCCAAATGTTCTATCTGATATGTGGATGCCAACACACTCAGGGGAGGGAAGAATAGAAGTTCAGTGGATCAGACAAAGGGGAAGGAAGGGAAGGGAGGGGAGCTGGGAACAGGAAGGACAGTGGAATTAATCGAATATCACCTTCCTATGTTCCTATGTAAATACTCGACCAGTGAAGCCCCACATCTTGTGCACCCACAGGAATGGGATCCTAATTACAACCAGTTATTCTCCAATATGTATAATATGTCAAAGCACACGCTACTGTCATGTGTATCTAAAAAGAGCAAAAAAGAGAAACCTGCTGAAAAATTAATTTTAAAAATCCATGCCAAAAAAAAACTTTACAATATTCATCTTAAAACATCTTCTGTTTTAAAACTTAGAGTTAATTAAAATAATGGCCATAATCATTTAAAAAAACAATAAAGTCAGGCACAGAGGTGCAGGCCTGTAAGCACCTGAGGCTGAGGCAGGACGACCACCATTCAAAACCAGCTCCAGCAACCTAGCTAGGCCTTAAAGATAGAAAATAAAAAAGACGTGGGGAGGTGGCTCAGTGGTTACCACCTCTGGGTTCAATCCTTGATATCAAAAATAAAATAAATAAAATTAAAGCAAAGATTCTTTACAAGTATGTTTTAATGAGATTGGAAAATAATCATCTTACAAGGAAGAAAAATTGTATAGCCAGCATTTTCTAAGTGCTGGGTAAACCAATATCAGATTGTGAAGCCTACTGAGAGGGTAGCTGCCAATATTTCTGTGGATCAAATGGATTATAGTGGAATAGAAAAGAGATGGAGAGAACAGAGCAGAGTCAAATGCACTGGAAACTTGAGTGTTTCAGCAGAATGACAGGAAGCCTTCCTGCTGCTGCTGTGATTCCAAGGGGGAATGAGTCCCGAGACACAGGAGGGCTTGGGGGGGGGGGGCACCAGAGGAGGAGTTACAATGTGTGCCTGAATTTGTCACCCTCACTCTCAGTGGGGAGCAGGCTCCAGGGGCTCTCAGGACTGGCCTGGGGTTGCAGAGCTAGACCTGCAGCTCACTAGAGCAGGAAGGAGACTTTGAAAGTACCCAATCCTCCAATTTAAAAGAGAAAAGGTGGGCTCAGAGAGGTCACATGGCTTCCCAGGGCCACACAGCTAGGGCCAGAACGGAAGCTCCCAGGACATTGCAGTCTCAGGTGTCCCAGGATGTCCCAGGACAGAGGCGATGGGTCACAAAACCTTAGGAACTCTGGAAGGAAACAAGAAGACTAATACTGTAGGCTCTCAAGTAGGAATGGGAGGGTATCCATGGGCCTGGAGCACAAGGCAAGCCCAGCTCCTTCCTGCCCACTAACACCACCAAGCCCAGCCTGCCACTAGACTCCCAGGGCCCCTAAGCCATGACCTCACACCAGAGGTTTAACCAAGAACACCAAGGGCAGCAGCCGCCCATCTCCCCCAGTGGAAAACAGCCTCCATCCCCGCAGGCCACACCACGCCAGGAGCAAAGGCAGCCCCTGACTGCCCTGGGCTCCAGCCCTGGGTCACAGAAGCCTTCCTTACGCTCAGCGGCTCAGCGACCCACCTAGAGAGGCAGGGACGGCGGGGCTTCCAGCCAGTGAGGAGCCCACTCGGCCACCCCGGCCACGTGGGCCACCCCGGTCACCTGGGCCACCCCAGCCACTCTGGCCCTGTGCGAGGGCCCCGCTCACCTAAGGTTATGTTCCCGAAGCCCAGAGTGAGGAGCCGCTCCTTGTGCTCGTTCAGCTGGTGCTTGGACTCATTCAGGACACTGTTGGCCCAGAGGAGCAGGTTGGTGACCACAGAGTGGATCACCCCGAACCTGGGGAAGGACAAGGGGGCTCGGCTCTTGAGTGGCCCTGGGACAGACCCAGGCCCCCTGGGGTGAGAGGGGCGCACATGCACACACGTGCGCACACCTCCTTCCCCACTCTCCACTCTCACCCCCCCCCCCCCCCCCAGGGCTCTGGGTGGCTCTGGCTGGCTGGGCCAGGCAGTTCCCGGGACCTTCCAAAACCACAGAGTTTTTGCATCTGCCTTCATCTTGAACTCCCTGGACTCAACTCATTGTCTCGGGGACGTCAAAGGAACTGTCTTGGAAGCTGGCCTCTGGGGAAGAGACTTCACGATGAGAAGACACCCCACCCATAGCCAAACCTGTCCTCCAGAGGGAAGAGGAGGGGGAGAACAATGAGAGAAGAGATGGAAGGTCTACCCTGGACACCTGGAGTGTGGGTACAGCTGCCCTGCTGACTGACCACCCAGCTATCATCACCCAGCCTCCTGCCTTCCCACCTACCTTCCCCACACAACACAAGCCAGGGCCTTGCTGTCCGGCTCCCCTTGCAACCAGACTTAGCCATTCTGGTCACTGGGGTGTGAGGTTCAGTCTATGGGGCACTACTTAAAAGCTTTTGCATTTTTTGGTGAAAGAGGTAAGAATGAGAGAAGTCTAGCTCCCTCTTATGACCTTCTTAAGTGTAGACATGAAGGCTGGAGTTGTGGCAGCCATATTATGACCATGAAGCAACCAGGATGTGATGAAGTACCAACTTGCTGAAGATGGCAAAGCAGAAACCTAGAAAGATCCTTCTCAGTGATAATGTCATTGAGCTTCTGGAGTCCCACTGAGGCTCAGGACTTAGCCTATGGTCACACATTGGGTAAATAGCCACTTTGGCTGGACTTGTCACCAAACACTCCACCAGCAAGGCTGAGGCAGTGTGAGGTCCCTGTCCCACTCAGGTGGCAAATCCTGGAGACAGACGCCTGAAGCATGGCCCAGAGTAGTGCTGCCTGGTGAAAAGACGATGCAGGACCACATGAGAGCCACACAGGACGCTCCAGAGCACCTGTGGCCATACTTCAGAAACAGTAAAAACAGGCAAGTCAAATAGTTGTAATAAAACTTCATTGAACCCAGCACACCTGAGGCCACATCATGGCGACATACAATCAAACCCCGAAATCCTACTGAGGCGCTTCCCGCCCTGTTTCGTTCTAGACTCTGATATCTGCAATGCATTCCACACACACAGCACGTGTCCATCTGGAGGGGCCACCGTCCACGGGCTGGTCGCCCCCAGTGGCTGTCGGCTGCTGTGCTGCCCAGCCCAGACCTGAAGGCAGGGCTGAGTCGGCCTCTGCTGGAGGGACAGGGTCAGGGCTGCAGTCAACAGTGGCTGGAGCGAGGAAAAGCACTGGCCCCGCAGCCCTCAGGGCCACCACCAACCTGCAACAGAGTCAGCCAGGCTCAGCCAATGCCCGGATCCAGGGGGGTGGAGGTGGGGCTTCCGGGGCCAGTAAAACCGGAGTCAAAATTCACTGCCAAGGCCACCACAGGGACCACTGCTGCCCAGGGCCACTAAAGAGCGCCATTCACCACAGCCAAGGATACCCTGTGTCTCCTGGCTTGTCCCCATGGCCCACAGGAAGCCCCAAGATGCCCACACACCTGACGTCCACCCTGCTCTGCACAGTGAGGTGGGCAAAACCTATTTCTATTCAACGGCCTGACGAAGCAGCTTATCCAGTGATCGCGCGCAAATCAGTGTTTTAATATCAGCCGTCACCCTATGCCACCAAACGGTAATGAGGGGGCTTCCCTCCCTCGGGGAGAGCGTGTCGGCAGGAGATCATTCAATAAAGCAAATACGGATCGCCTGAAGCACCCGCGTGGGGCGTGGGCCCGGGCCTCTGCTACGTGCGGCTAGGGTGGCTCTCCCCCGTCCTGGAGATGGAGTCCTCTGCCCTCACAGTCAGCAGAGAGCCAGGCGGGCCCTTCAGGACAGACCCTGCCCTTGCCAAGCCTCTGCCCCGTGTCCACGGCCTCACTCAGTCTCCGGGGAAGGCCACCGAGTCGTCCCCATGGCAGAGACAAGGAAACAGAGGGCCATGAAAGGGAACTGCTCCACCTCCAGGGCCGTCCCAGGAAGGGGCTGAAGCCGGGGTCCACGAGGAGGGCTCCGCTGTCCAGCCCTGAGCAGAGAGGGGGTCCCCGTGTTTACCACCCAGCAAGAGGCAGCTGGGGGGCTTTTTCCTTCTCAAAGAACCCCAAACCCCACATGCGCGGCGGTCCCCCCAAGTTTTACCTTTCCAGAGTCTTGAAAGACTGGATGATATCCTTGGCATGTCCCCAGAGAAAATACACCTAGGCGGAAAGGAAGAGGAAGTGACATGAGTGGGACAAGTGTCGTTGGATCTGCACACTTGAGGAGTTATAAAACCTGAAGAAAAGGTCCAAGAAAACGCTGGGGACATGAATGACCTCCCACCCCAAGAAAGGCAAGTGGCTTTCCTCTCTCAGGTGCAGCAGCATGGCCCCGTGGGGACCGTGGGCTGGGAGCACCTGGGGAGAGCAGGTGGGGCCGCCTGGGTCTGGGGGGAGGGGTGCTGTGGTTGACTTGTGATGTCTTCTTTGGATGGAGTTCTGCCATCGACTGGGGATGTCTGCGGTGAGGTAGGGGTGGGAATTGAAGCCTGCCTGGCAAAAGCCCCTGAAGTCTGATGACAGCACATTTGTCGGGCTTTAGCCAAGAAATATCCACTGAACAGAGCCAGCGCCCAGAAATTAAATGTTGAGCACTTTGAATGAAGAACAGGGTCCCTGTGCTATGCAGCCCCGGCCACAGCCCCCAGCAGCAGCACAGGGCAGGGTGTGACAGCTCTGTGGCTGGCCCAGGTTGGTCTCTCTTCTCTGAAATGCTCCCGGCCTGCAGTGTTTCAGATTCCAGGTGCTAGATTTTATTTCTAATTCTTTCAGACTTTGCAGTACTTGCATATATGCCATGAGAAATCTTGGGGATGGGACCCAAGTCCAAACCCAGAATTCACTCTCTATGTCACGCCTCACATGCATGCCATATATCACATAATTTTGTGCACAAAATTCAGGGTTGAATTTTCTGCTTGCAGCAGCCTGTTAGCGCTCAAAGTTTCGGATTAGGGATATTCAATCTGTATCTGACCCGAGTCCCTCTTTGCCTGGCGACAAAACCTTGGGCTAGCCTGGGGACCTTTCTAACTGCTTGCCACCTGCAAAATGAAGATAAGGAACTTGCCCTGGAGGCACTGTGAGCCATTAACCGAGAGAATCCTTTCTAATCACTTAAAATGGTCTCCTGGAATGTGAACATGTTCAGCAAATATCCTCCTGTGCCTGCTCACTCACTCGTTGACATTGATTGAGTGCCCCCTGTATACCAGCGTTATTAGCACTTTTAAAACATCTAAAGCCTGATTTTAGAAACAAACACATATAGAGCACCTACTCCATGCCAAACACTGCTGAGCCCTTTATATATCTCCCTCATTTTCTCTTCGGCTTCCACGCATGAAGGAGCACTCAGGAACCTTCTGTGTCTGGCTCACCCACTTAACATATTGTCCTCCAGGCCCGTCCCCATTGCTGCCTGCCCAGGATTTCATTCTCTTTAAGGCTGGATGATTTCCGCTGCACACATGTGCCACATTTTCTTCATCCATCCATCCATCCACCAACGGACGCCGAGGTGGTTCCATACCTTGGCTGCTGTGCAGAGCCCACACCTGCTGTTGAAGGTAGCTGGAGGGATCGCACACAGAGATGGGGAAAGCACTTGGCATATTCTAAAGCTCGGGTCTGCAGCAGCTCTGGCTGCTCCCACTTGCCATGTGTCTCTATGGCCAGGGACTTCACACACCTAGGGACGCGCTTGATGACACTTGACAACAATAGACGACGTCGTTAGTATTGGTGGTTTACCTGCAGCAGAGTGTGCACCGCGTGTGTGACAGGGAAAACGCCTTCCATGGCCGAAAGACACTCGGAAAATCCAATGAAGTAGCCAACTTTGAAGCACCCCAGGATGACGGTGATGGTGGCAAACAGTGAGATGCTTCCTACGCGGGCAGGGTAGAAACATGCGTGCGTATGTGTTAATGTGCACTGCGTCATTTCAAAACCAACCACAATGCGCCCTCAGGTGTGGGTCAAGGATTTCTGCCAAGGGTGCCAAGACCATTCCACGTGCAGGGACAGTCCTGTCAACACCTGATGCTGGGAGAACTGGATAGCCACATGCAAGGGAATGAAGGACCCCAACCTGTGCTGCACGCCCCAAGTTAGCTCACAGTGACTCAATGACCTAAATCAAGGCTGGAAGTGCAAAACTATCAGAAACAGCACAGGGGAACGCTTCATAACATTATGGACTATACGGTGGTTTCTTGGTCCTGACAGCAAAAACAGACAATGAACAGATGGATAAACTGAACTATCTGAAAATGAAGAGGGTTTGTTCATCACAGAAAATACAGTGAAGAGGCGAACCAAAGAACAGGTGGAAATACTTGCACATTATGTACAGATGATGCCCTTAATATCCACAATATATAAAGACACTTAAAGTTCAACAACACCCACAACTTCCATAGGCAAAGGATTTGCATGAACATTTCTCCTAAAAGGATATGAAAACAGCCGACAAGTTCATGAAAGGATGATCAACATCACCAATTATCTGGAAATGCAAACCTAAACCAGCAGACACCACGTCACCTCTGTTAGGATAGCTACTAAATGACAACCACAAGGCATGGTGGTAGGAGACGGAGAAGCTGGAATCTCTGTGCACGTGGATGGGAGTGCAAAATGGTGCAGCCACCGTGGGCACCAGTGTGGCACTTCCTCAAAAATTAAAACTGCAGCTCCTGTGTGACCCAGCAATGCCACTTCGGAGCATATACCCAAGAGAACCAGAAGCAACAATACAGTGGACCGCGGACACCCACACTCGGATCTTAGCAGCACCGTATGCAACAGCCCACAGGTGGGAGCTGACCAGGTCCCCACTGTGGGTGACTGAGTAAAGAAAGAAAGATCTGTACATACAACACAGGGCCACCCACCGTCAGAAAGGAAGGGAATCCTACACACATGACACACGGGCAAGCCTCGAGGACATCATGGGAACACACAAGTCACAAGGGACAAGTACCACAGGACTGCACTCACCTCAGCCACCTAGAGCAGGCGAATCCATAGCGAGCATGTGGATAGGGGCGCCAGGGGCTGGGGAGGGAAATGGGCAGTGAGTCCAGAGGGCCCCGACAGGCAGGGTAGGAAGGAAACGGGCAAAGCCAACATACTTGACCTACTAAACCGCACTCTTGGAAAGGATTCAGTCGGTCAATGTCAGTTGGATATATATATATAAAATAAATAAAAGACATTAGTAAAAGAAATTCTACTGTTGGACAGATGAACCTAGAATGCAGGGATTGTCCCACTCATCACTGTGCCCACCCTATGAGTTTCCCGGAGCCTGACAAATGATAGGTACAGTGGACCCCCCACACAGCCTGGTTCCCAGACCCCAACAGACCCAATGCTGAGGACCCTGAGTGCCTGGTGCACAGTGCCAGAGACTTTCCAACATCCTACGCCCATCTCCAGGCACGCGCCGTCTCTAGGTCACTCTGACACGTGAGACGGCGTGAATCTGTGCAGATCAACCGTGAGCTGCATGATCAGGAGCAATGGCTGGGGGTCTGTGAGTGTCCAGGGCAGACGCAGGGTGTTTTCCAATATCTTCAGTGCCTGGCTGGCTGAACCCATGGACGTGGAGTCCACCGATAAGGATTCAAGGAGTGAAGGTGGACTGAGCTGACAGAAGGCCTCGGGAAGCTTCTCTAAAGAGATCTAAGGCCCCGCTGCCCAGCTCTAGCATCTCCACGCTCTGTCCTAAGGTCCTGAAGAAGGGTGCAGGGCGGTGGGCACACGGGAACGCAGGGCCTGTGCAGCCCTCTGTGTGTGGACAGCTTTCCTAAGGTAGAAAGTCTACTCCAGAAGCTCCAGGTAAGGGGCCCACAGGTTAAGACCAAGAGATGAAAACCCAGAGTCTGCCTCTGAGAACAGGCGGAAAGGAACCCAGGACATCAGGGAGAAGAGCAGGACAGCGGCACCTGCGCCGTGTGGAAGCTCCTCGTCCTCCTGGGCCAGCGCTGACCCCGTCACAACTCTGTCCCACGCACAGGGAAACCTGGATCGTGGGCTGTGTGCGAGGGCACCACGGAGCAGCCAGTGGGAAGGAGCAGGCAGTGAGCGATAAGTTACAGCCCCGCGCCCGCCCATGACAAGTCCTGCAGGCGCCTGGCTCCTTTCCACTGCCCAAAGCCACCAAAACAACTCCAGCTCACCTTTTCTTAAACCATAGAAAAGCCAGAAACTCAGTTGGAGTGGAGATTGGATCCCAGGGCTTTGAAATGGCTTGACAAATGCCAGGCTCGTTTACATTACAAAAAAGAAACAAGATCCTGGGCTGGGGCTGGGGCTGGGGCTGGGGCCTGGGCTGGGGCCAGGCTCAGGGGCAGAGTGCTTGCCTCCCGCATGTGAGGCCCTGGGTTCCATCCTCAGCACCACATAAAAATAACAAAATAAAGATATTGCATCCATGTATGACTAAAATATATTTAAAAAGAAAAGAAACAAGAACAGAGCAAGCCGAGGCAGGCAGCTGGCCGGGCACAGGGCCCACTCCTGCAGCTCTGGCCCCGGGGCTAGTCCAGGAGGTCATGGAGTTCCACAGCCACACCCCTGCCCCCAACTTCAGTTTCTCCCGCTATGACATGAGTCACATCGCTGAGCTGCACCCCCAGTCCCTGGTCCCCGAGGCCTGGAGGGAGACCCTCAATCTGCACACGTATCTAGTTCCAGGCAGGGCTAATGGGGTTGGCCTGGGACCCGCTTTGAGAAGCAGAGGTCTAGAACACCCCTGTAGCTGGTGGGCCAAGCATTCTGTGAGATGCCTCGTATTCCTTCAGTAGTCTCCAGGCCCTCCCTCCCGTGGATCCACTCACCACAAGTATTCGGAGGGCTCCTCCATATGGTCTGGACGTGGTTTGAGTGTGTCACACAAAAGTTCATGTGTGAGAAGCTTGGCGCACAGTGGGGTGATGTTGGGAGGGGTGGGACTTTTAAGGGGTGAGGCCTAAGGGGAGGTGGTTAGGTTAGGTCCTGGGAAGCACCTGGCGGGGCTGGTGCAGTTCTCTCAGACCTACTTATCTGGTTCTCAAGGGAGCAGGTTGTTATAAAGCAAAGCTGCCCTGTGTGCTTTGCCTCTCCTCCACATGGCTGGTTCCCATTCCACTTCTCTGCCACGACTTGATGCAGCTAGGTACCCTCACCAAGATGCCAGCACCAAGCTCCTTGGACCCTCCAGCCAATAGAATCATGAGCCAAATCAACCTCTTTATAAAGTTCCCAGCCTTAGGTGTTTGGTTATAGCTGCACAGGATGAACTGAGACACCTTGTGTGCATGAGGCATTGTGCCGGGGGCTGAATGACAGAAACACAATGCTGGAGAACCAAAAATACACAAGTACAGCACTGCTTAAATCAGGTGTACACAAAATATAGAGGGATGAGCTGGCACCAGACAGATCATGTGAACAGCCCTGGAGAGCAGAAGACAGTGGAAGGTTGCAATGGTCCCCTGCAAGGAAAGGGTACAGGCTCAGGGCTCTGTTCACAGTGAAGATGTCACACCCCGCCCTTATCAGGGCAGAAGAAGAAAGATATTTGAAGATAGGCAAAGTGTACTTATCAGCAATTATTTTCTGAGCATCAACTCTTGAGCCAGTTGCTGTCCCAGGCACAAATACAAAAGACAATAAAATAAGGGATCTTCCTTTAGGAGTTTAAAATTCCAGTGGAAGAGACAGGAAATAAACAGGTGAACAACAGACATAAAAAGAATGTCAGGAGCTGCTAAGTGCATGAAGGAACATGATCAGGAAAGGGCACTGAGGCTGAGGGTGTTTGGTCAGGAGAGGACTCTCTGAGGCGGACAGCTGAACAGAGAATAGAGAGGGAGAGAAAAATATCCGCATAACTCATCTGGCAACACCAAGCCAGTGAGCTAGGAGAGTCCTCAAAATAGGGGGAGATGAAGAGGAGAGGAAGCCACTTTGCAAAAGAATGGAGGAGTTCACAGAGTGGGTGGGTGGATGGATGGATGGATGGATGGATGGATGGTTGGATTGGATGGATAGGTGGATGAATAGATGAATAAGTGAATGGATGGATGGATGAATGAATGGATGGATAAATGGATAGGTAAATAAGTGGGTGGATAGGTGAATAGTGGATGAATGGGTGGATGGATGAACAGTTGGATAGGGATGCATGGAGGGACTAATGAATGGATGGATGGATAGATAGATAAGTCTGTAGATGGATAGATGGATAGAAAGATGGATGGATGGATGGGAAAATAGATAAATAAATTGATAGGCAAGAAAAGAAGATAAGTTAAATCCAAATGGATGAAGACAAAATGCCTGGGAGTGTACAATTTGCTTGCTACATAAAGACAATACAGAATAAACATTCTAAGGGCAAATTCTATCAAGAATTGAACTATATCTTCACAACCTACAGGTTGGAGATGGACTGGGTGGGGAACCGAGAGAGAAAGCCTTTTAAGTCTCAGGCTAAGGAAATGAAAGGAGATGGGGAAGTAGGGAGAGGAAAGAGGGAAGAAGGTCTCCTAAAAGTCTTTCTCAAGGGTGGAGAGGAAGCGGGAGGAGCAGAGCACCTCAGGTGCGAAGCAAGGTAACAGGCGGGGGCAAATGTTTGGGTTTTTTTTCTTTTTTAATAAGAATGGAGTGATAGGCACCTGATCATGGGAAGGGATGATGGTCATTAACAGAATAGAGAGGCACAATAATATCTTCAAAGGCCAACAGGCAGAAAGGGAAAATGAGAAAAATGGTAAAATATATCATGATGATCTCCATAAAGGAAAAATGAAAACGACACAGTCAGGATACAAATCATTATAGCTGGAAGGATCTAATCTTCCCATCCATTAGTAAGCAAGGGCAGTAGGATCCAGTT